TTTTTTTTTTTTTTTTTTTTTTTTTTTTTTTTTTTAAGTTACAGAAAATGTTCTCAAACACTTTTGTTCTCCTGATTTACTGGAGATATCTGATTGCAGCTAGGTTTTAAAAGTTTCTTTATTAGGAAATATTTCTTGATAAGGTGCTACAGCTGTATTTTTTGGACTTTGCTCAGTTAAGGAAGATGGAAATGTAGTAAACTACAGGCATAAAAAGTGCAGTTTCTTCTCGCAACGTTTTTAATTTCGTCAAAATTGTGCTAGAACGGCTGCGGGGAAATAAATCAAATTCTTTTTTTTTTTTTTTTTTTTTTGGTGTTTTTTGGCGTCATCAGATTATCAGAAAGAGCGGTAAGGAAAGAAAACGACGTCAGAGGGAGGAGGAAACTGTAAAAACCTGAAGTGTATTCAAATATATTACCGTGGCTGCAGGACTATAAAAATCCTGTGACTGAAAGGTGTAGAACTGTTATATTTTTGAATTAAGTTAACTTTTCAAATAAATGAGACTTGGATGCACAGAAGTAAAAAAATAAGAAGCGAAGTGAAGGATTAAAAATGAGAAAGAAGAAAAGTGGCGCATTGTTCTTTCAAGTTACAAAAAAAGGCTGTTGGTTAACAGTAAAATTTTATCTCTCGATAGAGCTACCTTTACTTTTCATCATTTACCAACAAGTTAGGCTTTCGGTAGTTTTTCACGACAGGGCACTAGCAAGACGGTTAAGGAATGGAAGAAGCAGCAGAGGGATAAATTTTAGTACAACCTTCTAAAATTGGCCAGGGCAACCTACTTTTCTATTTATTGAATCACGGAATAAAGCTAACACAGTTTTCCACTTTTCTTTATGGCTTTTCGCTTTTGCAATTTTATTAATAGTGAACTGCATTAGGTAAATAAGAAACTGAATCTTTGCAAAGGTTTTGCTTACACGCTTTAGTAAAGTGTCTAATTTTAGAACATTCAATTGTCTTTTAATCTAGTGTTTGAATTGTGATCTACCAAATGCCGTAATACAGGACAATAAAGATGGAAGGAAGCTGCTTTTAATGGTCTGAAATGGAGATCTAATTGCCACATCTATTAATTATTGTATATTGGTAGCAGTTAATCAGCATTAGTTTTTTGTCGAGGCAGTTGGTTTACTTCAGAAAAAGTTTTTAGAGAGACGAGAAAAGAAAATATGTATGCCTATGTTTTTCTATCGTTGAACAGTACTCAAGGTTCCAAACAACGTATGCCAGTTGATATACCCAGATATCTTAATTTCATTTATTTATTTTTGTTAAATCTTTAGATCCCAGTGAGCTTTTGTAGGAAAAAGTTTAAAGTAACTGGTAGTCAAATCCAGCACCTTTTCCTTCATCACCTGCCACCTCTACTTCACTTGGTTAGCACTAGGAATTCAGGGGATGATCTGTTGTACTTGTACTTTTCCCTGACGATCATTGTTTTCTTGCCGCCATCTCGACTGACATCACTTGAAAAAATGTGACAAAAGTAAAACGGAGGTGTTTTGTATCAGTGATGCCTTAAATACCCAAGCACTTAAAACATCTCATATGACTGGTATTTTAATCTATCGTGATTAGTTCCTTATAGGCATTACCACTTGCTTTCTGTTTACTTGATGAACTGTACTCCTTTTTGACCAATCAATGTCCGCATTGCTCTTTATGTTAAAACTCTGTTCGTAATAAAAGTTTGTTACAGTCATGCGTACAGCTGACCAGTTAAGCCCAGTTTGTCATCAAAGTAGTTGATGTTTATTAAGTTTGAAATGTTCTGATAAATTTTTTTATTTTACGACTTTCTGGTATCTTAACACCAAACATCGTTCTGAACTACATCGCTGTCTGTTAAGCGGCAATTTTGCTGTAGTGATTTTCTAGAATTCACTTTTATAACCGGTTTTTATGATTATCTGTTTTAAAAATTTAGGAAAACATGAAGGCTTATGCCCTTACATGTTTTCACCCATCTGTTTAACCCTTAACTGTTTCGTAAGCCTGTTTAAAATGTGCAAATTTTAATTCCTTGTTTTTTTGTAAATCATTTAGTTCTTGAAGGGTTTTAAGCACCAACTGTATCGTATGAAATACATTTATTTAATTGAAATTAAGGTGGGAGCTGTTTTCATAAATAATGGAATCCTCGTTTCTCCGTGAAGTGAAGGCACCATGGTATTAGGGGTAATCGAATGGGGAGGGCGCAAGACAAGGAAAGTATGAAGTTACGAAAGGCTTAAGTTTTTGAATTGGTGATGATCTGTTTTAACCGGCTTAAGTTCACTTTTTTTTTTTTTTTTTTTTTTGAATATTCTGTTGAAGAACAGTATTAATTCCATTATTAAAAATTCACAAATTTTACAGCTTCAAATCATAAAAGATAGGTAGGGCTTTCGTATACAGTAAACTAATATGAAAAAAAAGAGCAAAATAGCCGGTTTAAAAGGCAGAATTAAGATGGAAAGGTCTCTAAGGTCCGGAAGGAAGGCTAACAGTTTACAGTAGTATTTTGGTTTTTTGGTTACCAATTGAAAAATTTTATTGAATTTACTTTTATAGCAAAAATAGCAGTTTATTGTATTATTGCAGGATGTTATGTGCAGGGCATCAAAAATGTATTCTGTTCACCTTAGTTTTGAACTAACGAATCGCTAAATGTCGTTATCGGACACAATAAAAATGTTACCGATGCATCAGAGTAGCAGTTTTCATCGAGCAATTTTTGACACATGAAATTTCAGCTGGCAATTTACATTTGCCTTCTGCTGCTGGCAAGTGCAGTAGCCCGATGTAAGTTAGATAACAAAAGTCTTTTGTCTAAGTCTCCAACTAAAAGTCTTAATTGAATCCTGAAATTAATCTTACAGTGATAAAATTGTTGACCAAATAAGAAATGTAAGTTGAAAATTGTGTTTTCTACAGCTGTTTGCTGAGT